CTTTTGAAGAGGAGCTGTAAACCCTACAAGTGGTTTAGTGTAAGAAAATTCCGCTTTACAGAACTTGACAACACTGTCTGGTCAGGAAAAAAGAATTCTTCTGTAGTATACTCTCAGCAAGTTTGCTGACAGCACCAAGCTGAGTGGTGCAAACAACACACTGAAGGGAAGGGATGTCATCCTGAAGCACCTTGAGAGACTTGAGAGGTGTGTCTGTGTGAAGCTTATGAAGCTCAACAAGGACAAGTGCAAGGTCTTGCACATGGGTTAAGGCAATCCCAAGGACAAATACAGGCTGGGAGGAGAATGGATTGAGAGTAGCCCTGCTGAGAAGGACTTGGAAGTGCTGGTGCATGAGAGACTTGACATGATCTGGCAATATGCACTTGCAGCCCAGAAAACCAAGTGTATCGTGGGCTGCACCAAAGTGTGGTCTGTAGGTCAAGGGACATGATTCATCCCCTCTACTGTGCTCTTATGAGACCCCATATGGACTACCATATCCAGCTTTGGGTCCCACAACATAGGAAGGACATGGACTTCTTGGAATGAATCCACAGGAGAGCCACAAAGATGATCAGAAGGATCACCTCTCCTGTGAGGAACAGCTGAGAACTGTTCAGTTTGGAGAAGAGAAGGTTCTGGGGAGACTTTATTGTGTCCTTCCATTACCTAAAAGGGGCCTACAAGAAGGGTGGAGAGACTTTTTACAATGGGTTTATTAGGATGAAATTTTTTACTGTGAGGATGATGAGGGACTGGAACAGGTTCCCCATAGAAACTATGGTTGCCACATCCCTGGAAGTGCTCAAGGCCAGGGCACTGAGTAACCTCATCTATTGGAAGGTGTCACCCATGGCAGGGGATTGGAAGTAGGTGATCTTTAAGGTATTTTTCAACCCAAACCATTCTATAATTTAATTGAACTCACACTTCACTGTTCATAAATTTTGCAAGAACACCACACTGATTGAGGGAAACCATTTTGGTATTTGAAAGTGTGAATTTACATTTTTGGTGTTTAAACAGATTTTTGTGGTTACCTTTTGTTAAGCTACTAAGGTAATCATTAGACATAGATGATGTCTCTAAAACTGAAGGTAATTACTGAAAAAAAAGATGGAAAGATTGGAAGCTGAAGCTATATTAAAGCAGAAGCCCAACTCCTTTGTAGAGAAAATACTGAGGGAGCCAGTCCCTTCACAATGGTGCCTAGTGACAGGACAAGAGCTAAACATAAGAAAACACTTTATTCTGATACTAACTGAACATTGATAGAGGTTTCCCAAAAGGGCTGTGCTGTTTCATATCCATAGAGATATCCAAATGGACATGGCCCTGGCAAGGCAACCTGCTCTGGCTGACCCCACTTTGACAGGAAGGGTGGTCTAGATGATCCCAAGAGGTCTCTTCCAACCTTGACCCTGCTGTGATTCTGTGATACTGTGCCAGTCAAGAGGGAGCCCAGGAGTAGATACACCTGCACAGCACTTTCACTGCAATTTCTGTAGGAGTAAAGTTATTTGGAATGAGTGATATTAAGATACAGGGATAGTATAGCACCTATAAATATGTCTGCTGGGAGAGTTAATATCTTTTATCTCTGCTCTGTGTTTGGGGAAGGGACCAGCAGCATAATATCACAACACTCCTAGGACTAAGAGTTAGAATCTGTAAAATCAAGAGACAATCATATAGCATTACTGAATACTTCCCAGTATGACTAACCTCTGTTTGGGCAAAGAAAGATACAGTCTAGAATACTGCCTTTAAAAGCTACTTCCAATTCACCGTGTGATCTTTTTGCACTGTCAGAAAGATGGGAAAGCTGTAACGGGGAATTTTATGAGATGGATTATACTTCAATGAAACTGCTATAATTGCTACCCTTCATCTGAGACAAATGTTCAAGACAAGGAACTCCTTACATCTAAACTAGATCTTCCACATAAACAAAGACATATGCTACTGCTGAAAAGACAGACACACAGAATAGTAGCGATTTTCTCAATACTTCTCTCTGAAACATTGCGTACTTGGCAGAAATCCAGAGACCAGAGAAATGGCTTGTATCTGCTGTGTTCAGGGAAACTGTACATTACTCAGTACAGGACACTATTTGAGCCTTGTTTGTTTAACCTGACTTTATCCTCAATGTTCTCTAATAAATTGCCAGGTGCAGTGTTCTTGCTAGCCACGTGGACAAACTGAAGACAATCGGGTTAGGAAAACAACAAATCAGATTGTCCTGACTTCTATTCTTGAATTGATCCTTACTGGTTTCTATGATTTGAAACCTGATCAATTAACTTTTTTTACAGAACTATGGTGCTAACACTGACTAGTGATTTAAACTTAAGGATTTAACTCTAAATTATCATTCTACTGTAGTAAGATCAATAGAAGAACTTGGCGGTTTTTTCCTAATACAAAATTGTTCTAGTCTCCAAAATGCACCTGTTTTAGGATGGTATCAATATATCTGCAACAACAGAGCCTGATAAGTTACCCATCTGTCACAGCTGAGCTTTTTCTGGATGATTTCTGACAAACTTCACTCTTTTGTAAATTTTTGTTGTAGACAGTTCCAAAAGACTTCCATCAGTTGTGGATTTGCTGCCCATCATAACAGATTATACTGTAGTTTAGCAAAATTAATTTAATTTATTTTTAATTTAGCAAAAATGTCATTAGAAGTAAGTTGAAATTCTAGATACAATTTTCAAAAAGCCTCAGAATCAAAAATTGCTGGATCAAGCAATAATTACTGAATTTAAGAGCTCCAGATTGCTTTTTTATTATTAGTTCTACCCTTCAGGATCCCTAGAAGTCCCATGCTTTACAAAACAGAGAGACCATTGAAGGAATTCTTAACAATTGATACACAAATCTTATTGGAGTATGTTGTCTCTGTGGCTTGGCTTGTAGTAGTTTTCTGATTTTACTGCACATATTCTTGTATTATACTATGGTTATTCATACATCTTTAATGCATATTCTTTTATAGCTGGAAACCTTTTTTGAGGTGGGACCACCTCATAAGACTATTCATAAAACTATTGCCTGCAGGAGCTTAATCCATCTCTGCAGCCTGTGTTGATGGCTCTATGTCTCAGGTTATGTACATTAAGAGGAAAAGTGTCCACTCTCATCCTTTTCTCCAGGGAAGACACAGCAGTGATGCAGATTAGTTTGCAACATAAACTCCCTGAATAAGTGCTGCCTATCTGCTCAAAGGAAAACACAGAAAGCCAGTTGGAGCCATCCCAGAATCACAAATATGATATATATGCTAGGAGTTGGACCACTTTATACAGTAAGCTTCCTAGCACTCTTAACTTATCTACACTGTTAGGAATATGAAAATATTTTAGCAATGATGACCACTACCAAAAAAAGTGGGTTTATTTTTAATTTATTCTGAATTCTCATGTTCATTCAATTACTGCTTCACAATTTTTTGCTGCTCCAGTTTTAATTACAAACTCAAATGTCCTAATGAGAGACACTAACTCCACCCCCTAAACAATCACTTCAAAATATTAATGCCATTTTATCATCTCACTTACTTGCTGCATTTAGGTACTTCCCTGGCTACCATTGCACTGAACAACAAAGTTAAATTTTTAGCTAAAAGGTCTGATATACTTCAGTCCTGATGACTTTTAGGAAATGGAGGTTTACTGAATATAAGTCTGGAACTGATTTTAGCTCCTATAGTGATTAAAATAGGAGCAATTGTTATTCAGTCACAAATTCTAAGGCCATGAGGAGAAGATAATGTCCAGTTGGCCTTTTGAGGCAGATCTAACTCCTTTTGGTACCTTTCTATGAAAGAAAGATCACAATATTTAATTAAATAAAGTTACATAGATTTGATAACATCTAAAAGTTATTACATTAATAGATGATAATACAAAATACTTAAAATGATACAAATTCTTCACTCAAGGTAGAAAATGTTTTTTGAGTGGACAACAATATACCAGCAACATAGTATAGTGACTAAATTCTTTATACCATTGGTCAGATCCTCTCTTCCCTTATAACTCTAATATTCATAAAACTACTAATAAAGCCATGTTAAGTTGTGAAATCTATTTCTTTACTCACAGCTTACTTTCATTTTGAAAGGATCCTCAGAAAGACTCCTAACTTCTTTTTGTAATAGCAAGAAAGGAGCACAGTTTTACACCTTTTTCTTTATAAGAAGTACTTCTAGCTCCCTGTAATCAACTTGTCAGTCTGTGCCTGCCAAATTTTCAATGTAGATGCCTGATCATTAAGAATATGAATCAACTTGTGAGCTCCTGCAAAATACAAGAACTATTTCACAGCTGAACCTAATTTTTCCCTCCTCTTTTTTTTTTTTTTGTTTCCTTCATGAAGCCGTAAGAATTGACCTTGGACCCCAAGGTGTATGTACCATCAGCTGAAAATCACTCCTCCACAAAAAAGTGGAAACTTAAAACCCCAGTAATTTTGCTAACAGACTCAAAAGCATTGTGTGTCTTTGTATCTAGGTTTTCCTACTAGAAACATCAGATTCAGCTGTAACATTAATTTAGAAGATATTGGCAGACCAATATCAAATTAATGAGAAGTCCAGGGTGATTTCTACTAATAGCCCTTAAGTGAAGGACAATAGAGTGTTATTAAACTACGAAAAAATTCTGCACATTCATTATTTAATGAAAAATTTGCTATGCCATAAATTGTTTTCTGACGTAACTCCACTAATTCAGATGAATCGCATCATATGAATTCAACCTGAGTGACTTCACTCTAATATTTAGTTAGAACACTTACTGCCTTTTAATGCATATATATTTCATCTGCTAACAACAGGAAAATTGTAATTTGGTAAGCGCAGGCATCTCAAGTGAATACTTTCTCTCTGTTCCTGAACACCAAATTTTTTGGCATTTCTGCCTACAGAACTCGTACAAGTTTTTCATCAACATCTTTACAGGCAAGGCTGGACAAAACAGTGACAGTACCTTGAGCTATTTGTAACGCAAGGAAAGCTTCCCAAAGGAGGGAGCCGTCTCAGCCGAGCAAGGCAAACTGCTATGTTCCACCCAGGAGAGGGCACTCTTACACCTGGCCACGCAACCGGACATGGACACCTATAGGAGGAACAGGAAAGTTGACATCTTTAAACTCGGTCAACTTGCACGACCAGTTAGTTATTTTTATGATAACGCTAATCACAGGTCAGTTGAATCATCCAGAGGCTGCCACAGGGAAACAATATGACTGACAATAAACGTACACGCTAATTTATTCTTAGTCTCCAAAATGTGCCGAGTGATATGCAGATAAAAACCACAATTCCTGCATTTCTCTGCTAAAAGCTGGGATCACAGAGAGCTGTAGGTGTACCTTTCGCGGAAAATGAAGGTTAAATTTAGAAATAACCTGGGTTTATGAATATAAATTGTAGCCTTTTTAAAAAATAAAGCACTATTATAAATGAGTATACAAACATTTTAATGCAAAGTGCATATAATAACTCAGCTCGTAAAGTTAATCCTTATATGGACATCTCATGAAATAAATAAAATAAGAATTAAAAATGCTGCAGGTTTAACCCCTGTTTCTAAAGGGATTGAAATCAATATACATATCTCTTGAGACAGCTTTCCTCTCCAATAAGTAATCCTCCAGCAACAAAGAGAGAAGATCAAGCCTGACATTTTTGATTTTTCTAAACTAAAGCCAAGATGAGGAGGTGGTAGTTTTGTTATGCAAGAAATAAAACAGTAAAAGAGGAATAAAATGCTGCATACTGCAAAGTTAATGTTTCAAAAAATCTAATTTTCCTCTAATCAAAGGGGACAATCTCTATAATTCCAAATTCTAAGTAATTCTACTAGAAAAATTTCCTATTGATATGAAAATAATAAAATTAGGAAAATATGTAAATGAGAAAAAGATCACCAAGAATCTTAACTTGAAGAATGGAAAGTGCATCATACTTAATACTGTCATAAGCATCTTGGAGTCCCCAGGCAGTACACTGGGGCTGGGGGCATCCATAATCTGAGAGGGAAGAACCTTGCACATGGGGCTATATTGGATGTACAGTGAGTTTAATGTGCACAAACTTTGCATGAGCCATAGCCACTTTTCCATGAAAATGTGGGGAACTGTTTCCTATATACAGTTTGCATGATAGACAGTACTTCCCACATTATTTGGAAAGAGACATAGTGTTTAGGATGTTTGGTTATCCTAGCATTGGCTAGTGAATATTGTTATCCTTTCAGTATTGATAGCTTGGGCTGAGGCCTTAACCACTGTTCTCCTGCAATAACCTTGCATTAGTTTGAACTTCAGCTATATCTCCTGCTCCCACTTCCAGAAGTCCTTCAAAACAGTATGCCAAGCATAATAAACAATGCATAGATACTCAGAATTGTATCTCCCACTCTATTAATTGTGATCAACACCAATGGACAAAAGCATAAACCAATCTGCAGCCACTTTGTAAAAGCTGCTATTGAAAGAGCTATTCAGTAGGAGACTAAAATGATGATAGGATCAATGAAAGAACTATGTCCTGAAATTATACATGCTACATTTTTTTTAATTCAACAAATGAACTCTGTTCAATGGACTACAGTTGTACATTTTGTGTATGTATTTTTCTAAGGGCAAAAGACTAATGAGAACTTAATTCAAGGCTTTATTATCAGCATACCATAAAATATATTAGGGAGTCAGACATAGAAGCCACTGAAATCACACAAAGAGGCTATCTTCTCAATTTTTGTATAAAAAATGACCTTTTTTAACAAAGCAAAAATAAAACAACAAACAAGCAAACAGACCTCCCCCCAAAAAAACCAAACCAAGCCCCAAAACACCTATTCAAGGTCTATGGTACTGTTCTAACCTAAAACCCTATAGAATCTTCTGTAAAATAGTAAACCATAATAAAGTATAGAACAGTTCAAGAGGCATAAAATGATACTCCCAGCATGCTGATTACATAAGGTACCGATTTTTATGTAGATTTTGATCCTGGCAAAACTCACAAATACTCTGTTGTACCAGCAAAAAAGCCTTTCTATAGCTGCCTTTCAGCAAAGAGAGAATTAACAGAGTATATGGTGAATATGAAACGGTTGTAAGTGAAAAATGCCTATTTAAGGACAAGGGAAAGGAATGAAGTATACCAAGGAAAAGAGATACAGTAACTCATATTAATTTCATTTTTGCAGTAACAGACTCTGACATTTGTAATCCAAATGAGCACATGAAAATGAACCTAGGTATAAACCAGACAAAATCATTGCCCTTTACCATGGCTGTTACTGGATGTCTACTACCTATCACATAAAAGCATACTCACAGGAACACAAAGGATTTTGACACTTGATAAAGGTCATGTTTTCCACTTCATTCAGAGCAAAATCTGAATATTGGAAGCTTAGTTTCTTTCTGTGAGCTGTCTGAAAAGATACGAAGGATTTAACCAGGAGATTTTATGTACTACCTTTATTATTGTAATCTATAGTAGTCATAGTTTCTCAGCATGCTATAAACCTAATTTCATCTAAGGGGGGAAAAAAGGGTTATTATCCTTTCATTATTGGTGAGAGCCAAGAGCACAGAAGAGCCATGGCCTACCTCCTCAAAAGGAATTTAAAACATATCAGTGGAACTTGGATGTCTAAATTATTCTGAAAATTAAGGTCCAAGATCACACTATTAAGTCATTAAAAAGAAACCAGGTCTACTGCAAAATGGTCCTTTTCATAAAGGTATTGAAACCCTCAGCTGAAAATCTGAATTGTATAATACATTTTAAAGTTTTCAACTGAAAAGAAATTAATTTGATGAACAGCTGCACATGGCGCAACATTTCTGCAGAGAAACAAACTTTTTCCAGTCAAACTACAGGGGAAGAGTAAACACCTTAAAAGGACTATATACATCTGTATATAGTCGACAGATTTAAAAAATTTATTGATCTTTTTGCTTGGGCCTATACTTTATTTGTAGTGTATATAACAGTCAAAATGCTGTGTATAATAAGGGAGATAAATTAACAGCACTTGCAGATAACAGCCCTACCAGAAGTCGACATTTGTTGAGATAAATGTCCATGTTGTACGTTGTCCTGCACTGCACCGTTAAAAGGGGGCCCTATAAAATGTTTCTGCAAACGTTAATATCTTGGAACCATCTAGCTCCTGAATAAACAACAGTTCAAAATCCAATCTCACGTTCTTCTCTGAAAATCTATGCTCTTCAAAAACATACCTTATTTTATACACCTCAGGTTAGAAGTTATGAGGTTACTGTTACCGTATTTCAGATGTCAAGAAGTGAAGCAGCATCTGTGGGAGCCCGTATTTGCTTCTGCAATAAAAGGCCCATTGACAGGGCTGACCTTTGCCTTTTACTCTACTTTTAAAACATTGTAGTAGAAAAGAAGCAGTTCCTTACACTGTCCCCGTTAAGTAACCTGTTTCTGGGCCTGCAAGCTCCCCTGGTCTCGTGTGAGGAGGCACCAGTATTTCCAGGGGGGAGGGGGGAAGAAGACGAGGAGCAGGTCTGGGAGAAAGACGTGTAAGGAATAACATTTTTCTCTGCTGAGCATAACGGGGAAAAAGATAGATAAGAACCGCTGTTAAGGGCCCGGGTGAGCGTATTCTCAAGTTACGTGAGAGACCCTTGGTTCTTTTTGCTCGGGGGCTCCACCGGCAGACATACCAGCTGCTCCTTGAGCCAGCTATTTCCTCAGCGACACCTCAGACATTTCTTCCGATACCGCGGACCCGGCCCAGCCCTCCCAAGGGTGCTCCTTCACCCGTTCGCCGGCCCGGTGCCTCAGGGCTCACCCCGCTGCGGGCACAGGGCCGGGCGGGAGCCATGACGACACAACGGCCTCAGCTGTGTCCCGGGGCCCGCCCGCGGCGAGGCTTTGCCTGAGGGGGGTGCCTCCTCACGCTCTCGCCACGGACCCGCCGGGCCCGTGACAGGGCCAGCGGCTCGAGCAGGTGTCTCCGGGGACAGGCGGGTGGGCGGCCAGCGGGGCGAACCCCTGCGCCTCCACAGGTGGGCAGCGCACCCCTCCTTCGGGGTCAGCGGGGTGGAGGCGGCCCGGAGCACTCACGCCGCAGCCGCCTCATCGGCAGCGTTCAGCCACGGCCCCCCCAGCCCCGCCGCCGCCCCGCATTGTTTTGGTTCGGCGCAGCCACCGAAGGAGGGGAACAAACACATCGCGCCGAGGTACTCACGTGTCGGAAAAGTTGTCCCTCTCGCTTTTCTCCGTCTCGCGCGCTCCTCTCCGCCGCCTCCTTCAAGTTTTACAGATGTTGCAGGGCTGCTCGTCGTCGCCGCCCCCTCCTCCCAGCGCTGCCCTCTGGATCAGATCAGGGGAAAGGCTCTTTAGGGATAACTCCCGACTCGAACACCCTCCGCTAAACTTTCCCCCTTCCCTCCCCTTCCTCTGAGCGGCGGAGAGGGCTCCGCTCTCCTTCCCCCC